TTCCCACTATGAGCAACCCTTCCTTTAGAACATTGATTTAAATGCTGCTTTGTACATTACTCTTTCTCTGCTCTCTATAACTTAACATATATTTTTCTTTAAGGTAAGAAAAGTAATACATCATATATTTGTTATAATAAAAATATAATTCCACTTATTACAAAACATCAAGGCAGAAAAATGACTATAATTAGCAATTTTCCTTTTATTGTTCAACATTAAAAATGAGAGTTATTTTGTGGTGTCATTATATACTTGACCACACTTAAATGTGCTTGTAAATTGGGACAAAGACTAAATCTGCTTTCAAAGAGTTTAATAATACAAATTAATAATATATTTCATCTGTAATTTATATAACATTATATTACTAAAAAAGTACAAGTGGAAAAAAATTAATATTTTAGATTGCAAAAGTATCATCCAAAAAGTTGAATTATATACTAGGCAGTTCTGTTGATTGTAGAAGAGTTATATCCAGTAATTGCTGCCTGAGTTAAGTCTATATATTTGACAATCCAAACTATGAGTATCTGCATGACATATTCTTTCCTTCTCTCTAGCATTTGGAAATAGGCAAAACACAGTATCTGTTATCAATTTTCTGGTATGTATAATATATGTGTTTGCTATTCATGCTATAATTTTGGTACTATGAAGAAGAAAAACAAACGGTATTGAGGATTTGCCATGTAGAAAATATGATATATATTTCTATAATATAATGATATAAAATGAAGTAAATATAATGACTTACTATAATTGAATCTTTAGCTCTCTAAATTTAGAATAATCAAAATGTTGTATCATCTTTAAACATTGATTAGAATTATTTGAAATACAATAAATATTTGAAAAATATATACTCAGTGATTCTTCCCAATGTATGCACATTTACCAACCTATAAACTTCCAAGAGCAAAAACCTTTTATGCAAATTTTACAGATAAACACCCTGAAAACACTTTGGCATAATCATTAATTTAATTCAAGATGAACACAGATTTTGTTTTTTTTTTTAGTAAAACTGGGCTCTTTCTATACTATTCTGATTCAATTTCTTTATAGATTGTTCTATGTAAATAAACATTTACATGGGTCAAATTGTATGAAAATCAATCTGGGTACACAAGATTCTTGATTATTTCTAAAATGTATTAATTATTTCATTGGACACTTTATTTATTTTTATTTTTTAGCTTTTATAAGCTCTATAACTCCTTGCTTTCATTCTGTGTTTATGTTTCTTTCATCCCTGTCCTTGATAATTTAGTTAACCCCCAAGATTCATATACAAGTTCACATTTCTTGCAAAGGTTGTATTAAACAGCTTTTTTTTCAACAATTTTATATAGGTCATAAATCACCCACCACTCTTTGTAAGGAGCTCTCACATGACCCTCTCTTGCTCTTTCACTCTCTATATATTTTTAGTTAATAGTTTAGGTAAAAACGTCCTCCACTGCGTTTGCTTTGAAGGGAATAGATCTTGTTTTTTTCTTTTCATCATATAGTTTGACATAGCAGGAGCTCATTACTTGTCTGAATAAATGGCACAGATAATTTATGTATTTGGAATTTCTTCAGAAATATATTGAAAATATATCACAGCCATGTAATTTTCCAATTGTGCATATTGTTAAAGGAGAGTAATTCTATGGTTCATGTGTTGTAACAGCATTAGTGTTAACCCCTGTTGTATTAAGTCTAATGTTCTCATATTAACTACTCAGTAAATAGAAGAATGAATTCATAGATAAAATAATAACCACCTATTTGGTAGTAATTTCAGTATGTTTTAGATTAATATCAGATAATTTTTCTGGTTTTTCTTCTCCTTATGGTGTTGTCCACTTTTTCAAAAAAAATTGACGATTATAATTTTTTCTGTGTAATTAAGACAATTTCCTTTTTATATAATATTTTTTATTTCTTCCCCTTTCTCAAATATAGTATGGCTATGTATGTATTTATTCTCTCTTCTCAAACGTGTATGATACTACTACAAAAGCAAACTTTTAACAAAAGTCCTTTATTAAAAAGTTACATTATTATAAACATGTTGTAGTACATTTCTTACAAAGTTAAAAAGCGGAATTAGACATAAGCAGTATTCTAATAGCTTGCATTATGCTTTTTATTCCCCAGAGACTTAAAAATTCTGCCTTCTTATTACGCTACTGATTTTTCCTGTCCACATATCACTTTATTAATCAAGTGTATTTCATACAGTGCCTAGGCAAAAATTAATAAAGCCCAGGATACTAAATTAAACAAATAATGATAGATGATAGAATAGACTATGTCTATTACCTAAAGTAGGTAAGTATGATAACTTTAATTCCACGTTTAAGCACGTAACAAGCATTTTTTATTTCAGTTATAGGTTAAACAATTTGATAAATTTTATATTTCTATAATCTACACATTTAAATATTTTAAAAAATTGAAAGTAATATAATTAAAACCTGTGCTTTTAGTTTTAGATAGTATAATATTAAGTATCTGTGAAAACCTTATTTAAAATGAAAATATTTAATGTAGTTATATTCCATAGGAAAGCAACGTTTAGAAATAAGATAGAAGGGCCACTGTCACTCTCTTACACATGTAAATTGTCATGAGAAATCAAGAAAGCTTGTTAGTCCTGAAATTTCTTAGTCATGATTATTGTTAAATCATATTTAATTTTCAAAAGTAATATATGATATTAAGATATTAGTGTTAGAAAGCTGAATCTATTATAAGACATAGTAATAACAACAAATTAGTTGATTGACCTTGCATTTAAACATAGAGAGGCCTGCTATTCATTGTAAGCAATTTAAAGTCTATTCTTCAACGTATAATAACAGAATATATGTGCATGTGCATTTGAAAGTTATTACGAGTACTATACGTACAAATAATTTTGAAAAAATAATCAACATATGTCAAGTCCAATGCATTGTAAATTATATTCCACTACAGTTTATTGTAATATAAATTAACAGTAGATAGTACAATCCATATTGTATAGAATAAACACAGGAAAAATTTATGGATCAATCATATATTATGCAATTCAACGACAAAATACCTATTTTAATTGCAAGTGTTATTTTTTTTGCGATAAAATGTTATGTTAACTAATTTTCTTATTCTTATTTTTGACCTTTGTGCTGTTTTAATATAAGAAGAAAGAGGTATTATTCATTTAAAATTGATTTTGCCCCTGTTGTTATGTGGAACCAGATTATCACCTAGTAAGAAAATAATAGAAAAATGTTGAATCGAATTATGGTTAATTCTCAGGTATTCACGTCAGATTCATCTATTTTTTAAACTATTAATGGTTATAAATTTATTTTCATCTCCCTCTGCTTTCTACTGCTCTTCTGAGTTTCCTAACATATTAAGCAAAATACATTGTAAGAAAAACAAAATAATTTACAATGTGTACATAATATTGTAAACTCAGGTTCTTATTTTGTGGAAAATTGTTTGATTTTGGTGAGTTGTTTTTTTTTTTTTTTCCTGTTTCTATTATATTCAAAGGAGTAGTCTCTCACCTCTTCATTGCTTGAAATTCTTTCTAACTTTCAGAACAAGTTTGAGCCTTCAAATATGTTCAGCTATCACAAATCTACAACAAAAAAAAAGGACAATCAAATACAGGCAAATTTATAAAGACATCAGTAGAACTTTCCACACAAATTTTAGGTGCAATCTTGT